ATGACTTCTATTTCCTTTAAGAATAAAAATTAAGGCTGGGTGGTGGTGGCACACACCCTTAATCTCAGCACTTGGGAGGCCAAAGCAGGCAGAGCTCTGTAAGTTCGAGGCTAGCCTGGACTATAGAGTGAGTACCAAGACAGCCAGGGATATACAAAGAAACACTGTCTGGAAAAACCAAAATTAAAAAAAAAACAAAGAATAGAAATTAGGCAGGCTCTAGTTAGTTTCCAATTCTGAGTGGCCCTTGTGTACAGTTCTCCACAGTGGGGAGAAAGAGATACTGAGATGCTGACCTCCAAGATCTTGGCGTCTAAGACGTAGTTTGAACAGAACTATTTAGGCAAATTTCACATAAGGTGCAAGATTTTAACAGCTGTTCAAGAGACTCTCAAAACTGAATTAAGACAGACAACTCCTCATTTGGAGTTGCCACATGGCATCCTTAGACAAAGAAGTTTTGTACAGATGGTAGCTGTAGCCATTCTTCTGCATGGAGACAATGGCAGGGACGGCGATGTCTAGATTGTGGTTTACTAACCTGATAAGTGATCAAAAGAGCCCCAGCTCAGAGACTATACACCTGGGTCTTCAAAACTTGTCCTACTACTGCCACCAAATTTAGGCTTGAAGATGTTTCTGTGGCCCCTTTAAGAAAGCATTATAGGGGGCTGGAGAGATGGCTCTGTGGTTGATTAAGAGCACTGACTGCTCTTCCAAAGGACCTGGGTTCAGCTCCCAGCACCCACATGGTAGCTTACAACTATCTGTAACTCCAGTTCTGAGGGACCGTCACACAGACGTACAGGCAAGCAAAACACCAATGCACATGAAATAAGAATAAATTATTTTTTTAAAAAAGGAAGCAATATGGCTCAGCAGGTAAAGAAAGGCATTTGCCACCAGCTAAGGGGGACAACCTGAGTTTGATCCCCAGGACCCACATGGAGATGAGTAGCTGACTCCCACAAGTCACGACCATGCACACACACCATGGTATGCACATGCTCACGGGCCCAGACACACAATCAATCAATCAATCAATGTAAAAATAATTTTAATAATAGCCAAAGCCCATATCTGGGCAAGCAGGTGGTGGTCATGGCAGTAATCCCAGCACTAGGGAAGCTGAGATTGGGGGGACTGACAGGAGTTCCAGTGAGCCCGATCTACAGAGTAAAACCATCTTGAGGCAAACAAAACTCAGTAGCTATTTTTCTAAATGATAAAAACAAAAAGCACAGTTGGGCTGAAGATACCCATGACCCCGGATCCAATCCCAGTACCGGGAGGTGGGGAAAAGGGAGGACAACACCAACAGCAACAATGAGTATGATGGCCAGCACAGCCAGAGTTAAAACGATGAGGAAGACAGGGCCCCTAGACCGGGGCAAGGTCCACTAGCAAGGCATTCCTATCACTGTCTATGCTTTGCAACAAAAGACACATGGAGAGCAAACATCCAGGTCCAAAACCTGTTACTAGAGGCCACACTGGGACCAAACAACCAGCAGGTATCTAAGCCACGTTTTTTAAGACACGCTGAGGCCTAATTTCAAAGGCTGTGGTCCCAATCTCGGGGCAGGCATTTAGTTATGACTATGCCACAGGCTGGGAAGAGACGGAACTGTTTCATGTACTGTGCTGTGATGAGAGCTGTTAAAAAGCCAGGCTCAGTGCATCTGAGATGTAGAGAAGCCCAGGCCAGACACAGAAAGGACACATCCAAAGGTTAAGAGGGTTATTTACTGGTTTCCACATGCAGCTAGCATTGTAGCATCTTTTGGAATAATAACACAACTTACATGCTTAAATAGCTTTAAATTTAGATTTACTCAAGTGACTGGAATCTAAGTAAGAATTATGTGAAGTCCACATTTTTTTTTAAAAAAAAAAAAAAAAAAGCCTACCTTCTCAACAAGTGGCTTTGGAGCTTTCATTGTGTCTGATATTTCTCTAGCACTTGCTGTGCATGAGTCATTAGAGCTGATGTCTGCAGCTCGGAGTCAGGCAATATCTAAATGTGCAATTCAGGAAGTGGAAGACCTAGGCAAGTACCTAATTGTTCTGTGCTTTGGCCCCCTCATCTGTAAACAGGGATAATAACAGATCTACGTATAGAGTTGCTGTGAGGATTAAATTCATGAAAAGCAGCCCTACCATAAAAGGCTCAATAACTGTTAGAACATGAACCACATATAAGCCAAGGCCATTTGTAACATTCATCACAGGAGTCCCGGTAGCACGGAGCAGAGAGGGCTACATTTAGAAATGAGGCAAGTGGCAACCAATGTGCACATCAGCCTCCTCTTACTGCAACTGTTCTGCCCTTCTCAAACTTAGAGATTCTCTTGTCTGCTACAGATGAAGAAGGACTGCTCATTCGAATAGCACTTAGCATTTGCTACATGTACAAAAACCTTTAGACATACACATAAAATGACTTAGTGTCATAAAATAAACAAAACCTGTTGGCATAATGATAAATCTTGGTGCTTTATAATACATGCAACATAAAATCTATTATTAAAGGACTCAAGCCACAGCATATGAGTGAAGGGTGCTGCCTCTGTCCTGTTCCTGCACCCCTGAAAATGCACCAAATGGATGCTCACTGCTCACACCCCATCCCACTATGGAATGCTCACTCTCACACCCCATCTCACTGTAGGATGCTCACTGCTCACGCCCCATCCCACTGTGGGATGCTCATTGTCCATGCCCCATCCCACTGTGGATGCTCACTGTCCATGACCCACCCCACTGTGGATGCTCACTGTCCATACCCCGTCCCACTGTGGATGCTCACTGTCCATACCCCATCCCACTGTGGATGCTCACTGTCCATACCCCATCCCACTGTGGATGCTCACTGCCCATGTCCCATCCCACTGTGGATGCTCACTGCCCATGCCCCATCTCACTGTGGATGCTCACTGTCCATACCCCATCTCACTGTGGATGCTCACAGTCCATGACCCACCCCACTGTGGGATGCTCACTGCCCATGCCCCATCCCACTCTGCTCAGACTGCTCAGAACAAGCCCTGGTTTCACTGTCTCTCATTCTGGCTGAAGTCAGAGGGAACAATGCATTGCTCCTGAGCCACACAGGGAGGCTTACAGCAAATGAGCATTAATGTTCACCTACTCCAGAGGGCTTGAAAATACTGCAGTCAGGCTTTCCCCATGTTCACTTCAGTGGGGAGGTAATTCTGGGCACCTGATTGTGTCCCTGAGAACAAAAAAGTCAGTATTCACCAAATTACCCCTATAGCTGCCAAAGAACAATGGGGCTTCTGCAATTTCCTCCTTTTAAAGCAGAAGCAGATAGGGCAGGACTTCAACACCAGCAAAATGTCAAGACCACTCTCGTGAGCACTTGTTCTATATCAGCATGTGGGCTGCTTAGGCAGGCTCTGTGCCTTGCTAGAAACTGCCCCGAACTGCCTTCATCCATTTGCAAAGGGGAGACACAGAGGAAAAAGCCCGGCTTTGCACCCCTTCCCTCTCAACCAGGAAAGACAGAGAGAAAAAGGCATAAACGTCTCTTCAACATAATTCAAAGCGTTGTCAGTAGGTAAAACCCTTGCATAAGTGTCTTGATAATTATATTCCAATACACTCTCTCAGGCCTTATGGAAGATGAAAAACACCATTTTTCCATTCCAGGCAATCTGTTAAAGAAAACCAGCATTACTTGTAAACAGATTCCAAGTTATCAGAAGGGTAAATTAAAAATACACTTGTGTGTTTTGGATACATTCTTTAAACCATTTGTCAGATCTGTGTTCTAACAAGAATCTATGACTGACCCCACAATTTCCTGAGCTAAAAATGAATTTCTATATTCTAGTTCCTTTCAGTTAAATAATTACTGCCTATGATGTTTTAGTATTTATTAGTTATGTACATCTTTAAGAATATCTCAGCTGGGCATGATGGGGTCTACAATCCCCAGTACCTAGAGGGTAGAGTCAGGAGGATTGGGAGGTGAGGACCAGCCTCAGCTACTTGATACAGACCAGCTTGACTTATAGGGGACCTTGTCTCAAAAAAAAAAATATGCACAGGTAAAAAATTATTATGTAGAATTAATATACACTAATAAGAACTGAAATAAAATAAGCTCACAATATGTTTTCATGTTTTATTCTTTGGGCAAATTATTACTTTACATATCTAGTTTTCTTTCTGGAAATAGCCTGACAGTTGAAAAGACTTTCACATTATCTGGCTTGATCATATTTCTTAGAGGAGGAGTAAAGACCCACAGAATATATTAACCCCTAAGGAAAACTAACAGGTTCTCAACTTTTCTGGGGTCATTTGCTACCACATCCAGTTCTGCACCTATCTTTAATTCCTAGCACCACCACCCCCAGCACAATCCTCCAGATTATAAAAGTAAGGACTGGATCCCACCAGTGCACAGAGCTACAGTCGTGAGCCCAGCTCAGTGGCAGAGAAAACACTTGCCTAGTATGTGCGAGGCTTTGATTTCGAACAAAGACACATCCGTCAGTTTTCAACTAAGCAAATGCACAGAGCTGATGCCAGTCATAAAAAAAATAAAGATCAAGGTTTTCATCCCAGAGACACTCCCGAGAAAATAAAAAGCCGTATGCCCTATGAGGCCTAGTGTCACATGTTTGCAAACTAAACTCTGTGTTCTTGTGTTCTCACCACAGGGATCTGAAGAAGCATTACCCAAAGAGTACCTGCTAGATGTTGCTGTGTGTGATGCTAACAGACACTCAAATATAGTGTTAATGATGAGGCGACGAAAAGATATCCCTCATCACTGTGGAACCTGCTTGGAAATCCTGTATGCTAATGCATGTGATAAATTCCAAGATCAGATCCTAGGATGAAGTTTGCAGGATGCCAAGCTGGGCAAGATCTTGAAGAGAGTTTTCAAGGGGCTCCCAAGAAGGTTTCAGTCTGGGCTTTGGTCATGGTGTGTCCGGGCACTTTAGGGCAACTTCTAAAGGTCTCACCTGATATGTGTTGCAGGAAGGGACTCATACTGGCGGGACAGAAAGAGTTCCCTATGTTTCAACTGATGCTTCTGCTTCTCAGTCAAGTCAGGCTCAACCGTCATCTCCGTTTCTTCCTCTGTTTCTTCTACACAAACGAAACCCAAAGAAACCATTATTACAACTCATGCAGCTTCTTGGGATATTGAAACAGAATGAACGGACAGGTCAAATTAGTATTTCATCATCTGTTAATGTCTTCACACTAATCACTTCTGAATTTCACATTCCCAGCCCTCAAATTAAGTTCTCTGGGCTGCCAAGGAAGAAGATAAACACCACTGTTAAAATGGCAGAACTGGACATGGTGGTACACACCTGTGATCCCAGCACTTTGGAGGCTGAGGCAGGAGGATCACCAATTCAAAGCCCATGTGGGTAAGATATAAGTTCAAGGTGAACAAGTACTACATGGTTAGAGCTGTCTTGAAATGAATGAACAAGTGAGCAAACAAGTGAGCCAGCAGTAGCTGGAGAGCTGGTCAGTGGCTGCAGGCACTTGCTGTACAGTCAAGGGCCACAGTTAGGATCCCAACACCCACATAACAAGCCAGTGCCCTTACCACCACCTGTAGCCCCAGCTCTGAGAACAGATAGGGATGCCAGGGCTGGCTTGCTGCCTTCCAGTCTGTCGGAGAAACCCCAACCCTAGGCTCAGGATAGACCCTGCCTTAAAGGAATAGACAGAGGATAATGGAGGGGGACACCTAACACCCTCTTCTGGCCTTTATGCAGACATACCTGAAAACACACATGTGTGTGTACACTCACACAGATTCGCACAAGTAAATTTCTTCAAAATACTAGTGACATTAAAAGTAAAGGACTATTAAAATGGCAGCTAAGATGTGAGTGTCAGTGGCATATGCCTGAAAGCCCAATACTCATGGAGCCGAGGCAGGAAGATTGGGAGCTAGCTCTAAGCTAGCCAGAGCTACAGAGTACAGGCTGATCTCAAAATTCCTTAATTAAAATAAAATATAAATAAAACTGGGTGTGATGGTGAACACCTTTGATCCCAGCACTTGGGAAGCAGAACTCTCTTTGAGTTCAAGGCCAGCCTGGTCTACAGAGTGAGTTCCAGGGCAGCCAAAGCTACACAGAGAAACCCTATCTCAAAAAACTAAAAGAACAAACAAACAAGAGAGACAGGCAGAGACTAGAGAGGCGATGAGGCTGGGGATTAGGCTGCAGAACTTTCAACTGAACAACACAACTGAAAGATTAGAATTGACAGTAAACCTGAAAAGAGAAACAAACAAACAAAACACTAAGGCATCTTTTAAAGTCCAGCCATGGAGCTGGGAGTGCTGAGCATACAGGAGGCCCTGAGGCTGAACCCCGGCACTCAGGAGGTGGAGGCAGAAGGATGAGAAAGTCATCACAGGCTATAGTCCACAGCCAGCATGGGATATAAAAGAACTGTTTTGAAAAACAAAGCCAATGGTGTGGGCCCACTATTGGAGGGTCTCATACCCTCGTCTGTGCATACAGGAATCAGATTTCCAATACTTCAACCCTTTTCATTTTTTTACTTGTATGAATGCTATAAGCCAAATCATTTTTGGAGGGGGAAAACATACTTGTAATAACAGAGACTGAGGCAGGGGGCTGGAGTTCAAGATCAACCTGGGCTTCATAGTGTCTAGACCGTTTCCAAAGCAAAGACAATGATTTGAAAACTATGAAGACCAACATCACACAAGGGGGGGGGGGATTGCCCCAGAAAGAAAAAGAAGAAAATGGCCATCTTTCTAACCATCTTTCCCATATTTTCTCTCAGGCACAAGGACTACTGGAAACCTTTGATCCGGGAAGGTGACAACCTCCTGCACCATCCACACATGCCACTTGTTTAAAAGTGATAACATAAGAAGCTGGGACAGAATCAACGCTACTTGTTCCTGGTGAGCCTTGTGTTAAGATGGTGGCACAATGCCCCCCAAGAGGAAAGCAAATGATACCCGCCTAGAACTGTAACCGAGTCTCCAGTCTTTTCGTCTATGCAGCCAGCATTTATTAGGGGTGAGGCGGGAGCTACTCAGCAAGCAGGACAGGGACTGAGAAACGACTCCCAGCCTTGGCTGCTAAGAATCAGGGCCGGAAGCCATGGGCAAAAATGAAGCAACAAGGTTCTATGTGGTGTGTCATTTCGATTAGAGAGGCACCCTAGCCAGGTAACAGAAGCTGACCTCAAACTGCTGTGACAGACAGCACACCAACCAAACGCAACTTAGGGAAAGGAAGGGACTATTTCTCCCCACTTCAGGCAGCAATGCATCATTAGGCAATTCAGGGTAGAAATGTGGCGGCGATACTTTGTGCTCTAACCAATAAAGCTTGCCTGGAGATCAGAGGGTGGAGCCAGCCACTAGTTAGCCAGAGAAGCCAGGCAGTGACTGCACACACCTTTTATCCTAGCACTCATGCCTTTGATCCCAGTACTTGGAAGAGAAAAGCGGAAGTGATGTTGTTGGGCAGAGAGAGGGATTTAAGGCTGCAGAGATAGGAGCTGACTCCTTTTCTATCTGAGGATTTTGAAGAGGTAAGAGCTCTAGTGGCTGGCTGCTCTGCTTCCCTGATCTGAGGGGAGCGCCTTATGGCTTGCTCAGCAAACCTTTTATACAACTCAGGACCACAGCCCAGGGGTGGCACTCCCTAATTATTAAGAAAATGCCTGACAGACTTGCCCACAGGCCAGTCTTATGGAGGTTCTTTCTCAACTGAGATTCCCTCTTCCCAAATGCCTCCAGCTTGTGTCAAGTCGACAAAAACCAGCCGGCACACTCACCATCTTCTCCTCAGTACTGAGGTTATGGTGTGTACTACCACACCTGGCTACAGGACCTTTTTTTTTTTTTTTTTTTTTTATGTTACTTTTAATATCTTTAAAGAGAAAAGGACACCAATATCATTTACAGACATCATAATTCTGATTAATTTGAACTACACGACTTTGACAAAAAGAAAAACACAACGCCTCTGGGGACTCACTGGTCGCCTGCAGTCTCACCTGGGGCAGCCTGTGTGGCTATAGGGGATAGCAGGAGTGCAGTGACTCAGAGTGAGGCTGCAGGAAACAGGAAGAGGGCTGGCTGCTCTTCATGCAGGAAGCACAACTCCACAGTGAACTTGGAACAGCTGGGAAGACCAGAGGTGCCACACAGACAGACAGCAGCATATGTAATTGCTACAATTCTTATTTCAGGGCTCAGAACTATAGAAGCCATTTTCTCAACCACAATTCTTTTTTTAATTGCAAGAGGGCCCTGTCATCTTCCCTAATTCCAGATTCTAAAGCTCCGAATTGAAAACAAGCCTGGAGAACCGATCGGCTTTAAAAGCCTCACCTAGGAGAAGCAGGCAAGTGGGCTCAGCAGGTAAAGGTATGTGCCACAAAGCTTGATGCCCTGAGTTCCAATCCCTGGGCCCCACATGATGGAAGGAGAAAAGTGACACTTCCAAATTGTCCTCTGACCCCCATGTATGTGCAGAGGTGGACACAGGAATATACAACACACACACACACACACACACACACACACACACACACACGGTACCGATGTAATAAAAGAAAAGGTCTCACCATGCTCAAACAAAGAACAAGGCAAATCAAGGTGGCTTGAACATTGTCCCTGATCACACACACAGAGAAGCATCCATCTGCAGGTCTAATAACGACTCACCAGTGGAGGTCAACAAAGTAATGGCTGCACTGTATATTAGCACAGCAAATGCCACATACAGAATTATGCTCTTTCCCTAACTGGAATTTGACAAATTGTTGTTCTAAAAGACATGGCCAGCTGAATTCCCATGGTGCCCACAAAGCAAAAAGCAGCAATACATGTCATAGCAACAACCGCAACCCTCACCTCTTTTATTTTGTTTTGGTTTGGGTATTTTTTGGTTCTGTTCTTGTTTTTTAGACAGAATCTCACTATGTAGCTTGAACTGTCCTAGAACAAGGTTGGCCTTGAACTCACAAAGATCTGCCTGCCTCTGCCTCCCAAGTGTGTATGTGTATGTTTGTATGTATATATGTATATTTCCAGCAGAAGCTGGTCTGGAATTCACTATATAGTCTAGGGTAGCCTTAAACTCTTAAATTCAAGATACTCCTCCTATCTCAGTCCACCAAATGCTTTCTTTTCTTTCCTCTTTTTTATTTTTTATTTTTGGTGCTAGGGACAATACCTAGGATCTGAGCTCCTGAGCAAGCAAACACTCTGACACTGAGCTATACACCCGCTAAAATTTTGTTCATTTTAGTTTTGGTTTAATTTTTTTTAAAGACAGAGTCTCACTGTGTCTGGGTGTCCTAGAACTCACTCTGTAGACCAGGCTGGCCTCAAAATCACAAACATCTGCCTGCCTCTGCCTTCCAAGTGTTGGGATTAAAGGCATGCATCACTACTTCTGGTCAACCCCCCTCTCTTTTGTGTGTGCGCGCGCGCGTGTGTGTGTGTGTGTGTGTGTGTATGTGTGTGCGCGTGAGTGCGTGCATGCCTGCATGTATTAAGAAAGAGGGCTCAGTGGTTAAGGGCAGTGCCCGCTCTTTCAGAAGACCCAGGTTAGATTCTCAGCACACATGGTGTTTCACAACCATCTGCGATGTTAGTTCCAGGAGATCTAATGTAATGCCTTCCAGCCTCCACGGGCACCAAGCATGCCCAGGCATATACGAGCAAAATACCCATACACATAAAATAATCTTTAAACAATAAATAAATAAAGTGTGTGTGCGCCCGTGTGCATGTGTAAGAATATAGGAGTGTGTATGCCACAGTGCACACTCGGAGGTCAGAAGACAACTTTAGGGAGTGAGTTTTCTCCTTCCACTATGGGATCTGGGAACCAGGCTCGGGTCCTCAGCCTGCCTGTGTGGCAAGTTTTCCCGGCTGGAAGATCCTGCCAGCTCTTAAATCTTATTTTCTTATACAACCCATGGTACAGGCTGAAAAGCTCTAACCCTGTAAAGTACAATATAACAATCGCTACAGAAGCTTGGAAGCACACCCTGCACTCCCAACACAACAGACCGGGGGAAGGTCATACAAGTTCACCACGTACTGAGTTTGAGACTAG